AAAAATTAAAAGTGCTGGGTGTCTTAGTTTTCAGTGAGACCTAAACATGCTCAGTACCTCATGGAGGCTCCCAATGCACCTGTGCCACTTAATGAATAAGGACTTAAATCATGTTGTAAACTTAAATAAATCTTACTATATATAAACTATAAATCATGCTAACTATAAATAACTGTGTAGTGAGACCTGCGAGGGGCAAGGATTTCTTAGTGTTATCTTTTTTATTGGGCCAGTAGTTATAGCTGAGTAGTTAAACAAGCTTTTGAATGCGAGGAAGAATGTGTTGCATTTGAAAGCTTGTCTAACTCTATCCCACTTACATAGTTGGTCCGTTAAGCGAGATCATCCTAAGAAATCCTTGCCTCATAATTTTTGTACCATCATGGCTACAACATCACTCTTACACTAGCAAGATCTGTAAATATGTAAATATACACCTACAAGTTTTTGACCTGTAAGACCTTCAAGGAGCTCCAGAAGTCTTCGTCCATCTCGAAAATCAGTAAAAAGGTCTTCAATATGATGTCTCCCAAACTAAAATGAAACAATAGCAACTTGTTAATTGGAATAGTAAAAGGATAAAAATGCCGACGTGACATAATATCATCATGTCACAGCATGAACTCACAACCGGCAAACTGGGAAGTAGCTGTGCCACTTAAAGATTCAAAATGAAATGTCTTTATTGAAGAAATTCTTCTTCTTTAGAAAAAAGCTAATTCAATCTGATGGTTTCTCAGATTCAGAATGGAATTGAGAGAGAGATCCCTGGCTCCACTAAATTATTTCCTAAGTCTGTCTGCCTCTGTCCAAATCAATATTTATGAATATTGAACCAACCACTGGATCCTGCCCCATCCAGGACATTCTCTTTCTTCAACTTCACCATCCCCTCCAGTCTCCATATTTTTCCCTTCAAAAAAGCAAAAATGTCCTATTTTCCTTTTATAGAAACAGAGCAAATTTTGTACCCTGAGAATCCATCACAAACATCAAAATATTTTTTCAGGCCAACCCTAATGCTCAGTGCTGCTCATTCAAAACACTTCTGAAGCTCTAACACCAGCATGGGCAAAGAATACGTATGCCGCCATTCAGCTGGCTGTCAAATTTGTCAAATGAGTTCTGAACAGATTCATAGATTGTGCTTACTCCTTTTAACCTTTGGTGGATTTGCTGTTTAACAAATAATGGTTAATCAGCCCTGTTTCCTGCATTGTACGCAGCATGACTATAATGTTTGGTAAAATGTTTTACAGTGATAGCACGAGGATTTTCATATTTTATGATTTAGGACATCAGATAATCACTTGCTGGGACCATAAAAAACCTACATGCTGCTTATACCAGGCTGAATAACACTGTATAAATTAGCATGGGCATTTGTTAACATGCTTTTGGTATTCCTTTTGAGTACCAGATATCAGACAGTGATGAGATGAGCCCAGGGTCTGTAGGATGAATCAAAACAAATGCTCAGGATGATGCCTTGCTCCTCACTGTTAGTTGCTGGTTAGTGTGACAGGGGGACCCTAACCTCCTGTTAATATAAGGAAGAAAAGGACAGCTGACTGAGGACCAGCAATGAGGAATCAGCATCTAAAAGGGAAAAGCTGTAGCTGCCAAGCTACAAGAAATCTGCAAGCCACTTATCTGGAATGAGATAGAAAAAGGAATGGCTTATGAGGGCTGGGCTCCAGGCAGAGGATTAAAGAGTAGCTGTGGTAGAGTTGAGCGGGCTGCTGAAATTCGGCAACGGAATAACCTACTCCATTTAGAGCAGATTCAGGCAGTAGAAAAAAGTGGTTGCAAGATAACATAGAGCACAGTCTGCAAAGAAGCTGGCTTGGCTACAAGGCAGTGCAGAGGGTGATTGATTGTGGGAAGCTGGTCACAGAGCTGTGAGTCTGCTTACACAGGAAGGCAGACTGAGAAGTGGCAAACCTGTAGGCTGGCTAAAGGGCTCTGTGCTGCTGAAAGGCACTTGTATTTGGGTCCTTTGGCCCCATTGAGCATGGCCATCAGCAGTGAGCCAAATTCACTGTCACCCCCATCCTCCTATCACTGCCTCAGCTCCTACTGACTGCCAGACCCTGTGCTGCTCTGGTCCCAGCTGGATCCTACACTACCCCTACCCCTACTAGACCACCCTCATACTCTGGGTTGGATCTGACCTGCAAGGAGTCCTAGGGCCTGGATACAACCCCTAGATGAGTTTGACACCCATTCCCTAGGGTAGGATCCTTGGAAACAGGATATACTCATCTGGCATGTTTATGCCATTATACTGTGACATATTTTGCATCTCAGTTGAGTTCAAAACCATGTGATGCCAAAGCTAGCAATCTAACTTCTTTAGGTCAAACCATGTCTTTAAAGGTTGAAATGAATTAGGGTTCACACAAACAAGACTTCTGAAAAATATTTAATTTGCAAAAAATAAAATGACTATTTATATTGAAACTTCTAGTGCAAAATCCAGACTTTCAAACTAACTAAAGTTGTAATTTACAAGCAATTTAAACATTTTGATGGGGGATGGGGTGACATGGGTACTAGAGCTCATGGTTGGCAGCCTAGAAGCCACAAGTTTGAGGCCATGGCAGAAGCAGCCAGGGTGTAGTCCTGTCAGATTTCAACAAATCAGCAAATTCTGCTAAATACTTTGTCATAATGACTTGAAAAAGGAAAGGAACCATTTTGATTCCACTTACCATTTAGGTAAGATCCAAACAGTGACTGATTACTTACTTGCAAGACTAGGGCTCCTAGTCACACAGAACAGGGTTTTTTCCCCATTTTTTCCCTAGTAAGCATAATCATTAAGCCAACAGACTAGAAGTCAGAGTTAAGTAACAAAATGTGGAGTGAAAGTAATGATCAAAATCAGATTTTATAGAAGAAGGAATATCATGCGGTCACAAAAACAGTGCTTAAGGACAGTTGTTGAATTAACATCTATCACAGCACACTCACTGAAACTCTTAAGAACACAAGGTTGACCATGATACTGTCAGGGTCCATTTTTGCTAAAATATGTCAATAAATGAAGACAGAATGTCATGTCATTTTGAAAAAAAAAAGCACACAGAAGGAAGACAATCTACAAAGAAAGTGACTACTGCTAAAGAATGAAAAGACATTCTCTGTGTTTGAAGATATAGCATTCTTTTGGTATTCCTTTGGAGAAATTTTGTACCTTTACATTATCATTCCACTAAAATGACTTCCTATTGGTTGGTTTTTGAGACAGAGCTTTGCCACAGAGCCATATACAGAAATGTCAAAATCCCGGTAAATTTTGAAAGGCCAAGCAATGATCAAAGGGATTTAGGAAATGAGAGTGTCCCAACTTATAAGGGCCCTATTGCACCTTATGCTGTGAGCTGCATGAATTTGCTGTGAGCCCTCTGACCCTCCTCCCCACCACGGCATTACTTGGATGCCTATGCTGTCTAGGACCAGGCAGGGAAGAGCTAACTTGCCTGCCTGGAAATTGGCTGCTGCTCTTCTGGTGCACAGAGCAGCAGCCATGGTGCCCAGGCAAGCAATTTAACTCTTCCTGGCCTGCTCCTCTGGGACAGAACATATGGGCAGCCACAAGTAAGTGAGGTGAAGTAAGAGGAGATCTGGGGTACTGGTTAGGGTGAGGGGTAGCAGTGATACTGATCTGGGCCAGTGTGGGGGAGGGGAGGCTAATGGGGTGTTTACACTAAGGTGAGGTGAGTGATATTCTTCTTGCTTTCCAGGGTACTAGGAGGCATAGGCAAAGAACAAAAAAGACAGGAAACCGAACACTCCATTTCAGGATAGATAACAAATATCAGTCCTAGTCTCATCATTGATGCTTCTGGTTCAAAATGGAATCAAAAGACCATCCATATATATGTAGCAGGCTTGCCTTTTGGAGCTTGGGTTGAGTCCCAGGCTTGAAATCTTGCTGTTTTGATTGGTGGAGCTCATCCCCCAATCAGGAGGCAGCCAGAGGAGTTCAGTCATGCCCCTTTCCTGAGAGGAGGGGGAGAGGAGTCCCCCACCCCTCGCCCCCGTGGACCTGATTGAAGACTGCAACACTCAGGTCCGGAAGACTTCAGGGGCAGAGCCCTGGAGCACATAAAAGGAGCCGCGTGCCCAGCATGAGGGAAGCACGTCCGGGAGAGAGAGGAGAGAGAAGAGTGGGGCTTAGAAGAGCTGAGGAGAGCTGCGAAGCAGTAGCCCAAAAGTGCCCCTGAAGACTTCCATCAGCGGGGAACGGCGGACAGCTCCAGCAACTAGGCTCTTGGCATCCAGACCCTGGGAGCTGCGTGAGGCAGCTCGGGTCTGCAACCTCTGGCGTGTGGCCAGAGACACGGTGCACAGGCCAGTGCATGGAGTAGGACCTTTGGAGCGCTTGGGTGGCTCAGGTCCTCAATCCCTGAAACGAGGCTGGGAGCTCAGTGCAGGAGGCGCTGCACGGAGGGTCCAGGAGCGGACCGAGCCTGGTGCTCCACAGGGCAGTCCAGGCCTCTGACCCATAGCAAAAGGTTGAGCCAAAAAAGCCAGACAGTGATCAGGCTACTGAGCCAGCTGACGGGGCCAAGCCAGAGGCCCCAGAAACCCTGTATAGTGGAACCCTGTTCCAGGGGACAACGACCCCCCACCAAAGCCCACTGCAGGCGAGAGAGCAGCCTGGAGCAGAGGATGAGGACCACCCTCCAGGCCTGGGAGCCATGAGTTGCAGGGTAAAGAGGATTCCCACAGGGGAGGGGAGGCCCCGCCCCCCCCAATTAGTTAAGGGCTCCTAAAAGGGGAGGTCCCACTGAGAAGGCCCCGCTAAAGTTACCAGCTTCTTTATAGGGCTTGTGAAAAGCCCAAGGGCATTGAGGTATCCCCTCGGGATTGTTTATCTTTGAGGTTTATCTGTTTCAGATCAGATGCTTACCGGTGACTTACCTGTATCTGGAGCACTGGTAGGTCCTGGTTTTATGTCATTTACCCAGAGGGTATTGTTTATGTTACTAGTTTAGATATCTTATACATATATATACACATTGTACATATGTTTATATCCATATTCTTTTCCCTTGTGCTAAGTTAACTATATACACATTTATTTACATTAAGTCTCCTGACTGTCCTGGCTTGGTTCTATAGGGACGGAGGGAAACTGAGCAGTCTGCAGTTCCCACCCCACAGCACACCTGCTAGCTAACAATCCCCTTCAATTGGAGAAGGGGAGTATATATCCAAGTTACCTGGGCTACATATAGAAAAACACTTAAATATATACTTATTTTAAGTATCTTCATCAGTTTCATTTGAAGACACCAAGAGATAAAATATCCTTCTTTTCATTTCATATTTCTTGCCAATGGTAAATCATCCCTCATTAGTAAAATGTGTGCCTCATTTCTAACACAATGTTTTTCTGCCTTCAATTTCAATCCCTGTCTCTATCTCTGTCTCTGCCTCTTAAACTGAAGAGCCCTTTTTAGTGACTGGTATTTTATCCCTCTGGATGTACTTATATTCAAAATTGGCACAACTAGTTTCTG